CCCCCACAAACCATATGAAACAAGTGTCAAAATCAATGTCAAATTCACCCTTTAATCTTAAACCAGTACAAGAAGTTGTACTACAAGGCATAAAACACATCCATCTAATAATTTCAAATTTGAACTACAACCACAGCCACTTAAAAGTTAAACTACCTTAATATCCCAAATGAAACTGCTGATTGGGCTTTCCTTCTTTTAGGGTTATCTATTTAATGAAGGTTTCCATAGTAATAAGCAATAGTAGGTATTCCAGAAGACATGCAAGAGAAGAGATGAGGCAAGAACAAGTCAGTTCTTCTTCTACCTCTTTGAAAGGGTCAAAAATTGAATACACATTATATAAATGTCTTATTTCACATCTATTGCAAACTCAAACTTAACATATTTATAACCAAACAAGTTTATTATCAAACAAGTTCTGCCTTTTCTCCTACCAGGTCAAGAACCATTTAACTACAGTTATAAATAGAGAAAAAATACTTAAATATGTTGTATTTGATTTTTTGACCTAAGAGCACATTTTGCCATCTGTTTAAACACTTAACTAGGAAATCAAAACAACTGTTACACAGAAGTCTCAAGGAAGTTGTCTACAGCTGCATTAACTGCATACATAAGTGACAAGAAAGAATCAGGAGTCCTTCCTCCATAAATTTCATCTCCAACTTAGAAGCTGTATAGTAGTTTTTATAAGACAGTAGTTTTTGTAACAGTTTATCTCATGAGCTTGGGCAGTTGTATCATTGAGTTTGGTTTTCCTCAGATGTTCAAAGGGTTCAAATATGTGTGCTTATGGCCTTAAATGTGGGTAGTTCTACAGCTTCCTTCCCCCCACCCCCATCCACTGAAGACATTATTTAGTTACTAAAACAGAGAAGCTGTCCAGAAAAACTTAAATAGCATCTGAAAGCACACTAAGGTATGAAAGGAACAGGTGGACAGACTTAGTGAAAATCAGCTTTCTGAATGACTTAACCAGAATTTTATGAAACTCAAAAATCCTAATGTAGTACAATATACCATTAAGCATACACCTTGCTCAATGCTTCCCTTAGAATTTAAAGTTAAAAAAAAAAAAAAAATGAACCAGTTAACATTTATAAAATGGGTAACAATCTTCCCACACACGTGGACACGATAAAAACAAAAGAGGTATAATTCTTAAAAAGTCATGAGCCTGACCTTGTACAATTCATATTCTAATTTCCATATCTATAAAGATTATGTCACAGATCTTCTATGTGGATTTTTCAAAGGTTCTTCTA